CAAAGCAAAATCTTATTATTATTCTTTGCTCACCTTTCAAATCCATGGCAACAGATTTAACGGAATCAAAGTAAACGACCAATTGCATTGAAAATTCTATTATTAAGTAGACGATATTTTAGGGAAAGCAAGTAGAAGTTTCATTCTAATAAATACTATCAATTATCGATTGGCAGGTTTGCTGTAATTTCTTAAACATGTAATCCTAAAACACTGTAAACGCACTGTGTATTTTGCTTATACCCTGATTGTAAGAGGAAATTCGAGGAAAATATTAAAATAATGACATATCTTTTATCTGTATCTCTTTCAAGGATAAATCAAGTAAAGAATGCCAGAAATGTATTTCAGACAATCAGTTCATTAAGTGACTGCAGTATATTATGGCATCTTGAGTTTAACCGTTAAGGTCATCTCAAACGCAATAATAGCTTGATAGCCACTAAAAGTTGTGCTCTACACGTGACTTACTACTACCTCAAAAATCAGTTATAGGGAATAATTCATGTTCTTTTCTTTTCTGCGGAACTCCATGTTTAATAAGGTATGAAGCGATAGCAAATCTTTAAACTCAACCAATGGCCAAAGACTAAGCTCTCTGAACATTGGAAGTTCATTCTGGGTTCAAATCCCGGAAAATGGACTATAATTTTATATAACATTTTATTAATGTGCATTCATTCATGTAATTTATCGACATTTTATATAGTCTATAAGGTATTTTCTCTCTCTCTTTCACGAGTGTCTTTGTGATGTAACTGGAAAGCTCGTCCGTCTAGCTGTCAGAAGGTATGTAGTTCCAATCCTGGAAGAAACGTAGCACATTTTTAACATCTCTTGCTCCGAAATAAAATGTCTAATGCTCTATACAAGTCTACCAAAAATTATGTACACTACGTACTATAATAGTTCATTTATTTAAATATTTTTGCATTGTTTTTCGAAACAGATAAGAGACGATTTGAAATGAAAGTTAGTTTTCTTCATAAAGTTTCTTCTTCTTCTTCTTTATTATATTACATAAATGTAAAGAAAATACTTAACTATATTTTAATTAAGTAAACTTAAATAATCTATAAGTCGAAGTTTCTAAAATTCGGAAGTAAAATATTCAGAAATAGGAAACTTTTCCTTATAAAGACAGAAGAGAAAAACGTCAAAATAAAATATTATCATCATCGTAAACATAAATATAACTTTTATCTTTTCATCAAAGATGAAATTCCGCTGTTAGAAATAATATTAGTAACCTTGCTATATTTCCATTTCTTTCATTCTATCCTTTTTGTTCTTTTGATTCATTCCCATTCCCAATTACGAAATTGCACAGATTTTTCAGAAATCCTATTTTCCAATCATTTTCTCCCCTATCAATAACATCCCTGGTTCGATTTTTAAAATTCCATTTCTGCTTTGGACTTCCTTTCATTCTTGGAGACTTTATGACATATCTTGTCAGTATGGTTTGAGATATATCAGCTAAACTAAAACAGCGCTAACATTTCGCAAGAAACGCAGATTTTATGTCCGAAATGGCGATATTGGCAATTCTTCGACCATAGTTGGAAATTTAATCATAATTTTCACTTTACGCAAAAATTAACCAAAATGCTTCTTCCATTGGCTAATTGAATTTTCTAGAAGCTTTTCGTATTCACAAAGATTTAATTAACGATTTTAATCCACTCCTTCCTAAGCCTTGTAAAATTTTATTAATTTAATTTTTAAATTTTCGTTACTATTTCTGCCGACAAATGGCGCTACCTTCTCGTTAGCTCTACTCCGTTTAGATATAAATACAACTTTGGCTTTCGTTTCGTTGCAGTTTTCTTTACTCCTGATGAAAAAGGACCTGTACCTGATTACCTTCGAAATCAGTAGAGTTTTGTCTAAAATCTACGCCAAACATAAAAGATTGTTGCTATGCTAAATTTTATAAGCGTTTAAATTATAATAAATATTCCTTATAGTCGTACATATTGCTCATTATAATTATTATATATTCCTTATGATTGTTTATTGAAATCATTAAGGAATAAAAACAAGATAAGCATTTTTTCACTGCCCATTAGACACTCGCCCTGCTTACAGACTTGCATGTTGAGTTACTGGAAAAAATTTGCAGAAACATTGATAAAAATGTGTACTGCTGACAATCATATACCAACAAACGAAAAACTGTTTACATAAAGTGCTGTAAACAATGATAGTACAGGAAAATGCAATGTAATTATGATCACACTATAAAGCTTATTTATGATATAATGAAACTTCTGCACAATAACAGAAGTATCATACGTGCAGTCATATAAGTATGTGTAATAACATAAGGTTTTCTAAAGAGCATTTTAGAAGCTCTGTATTGCAGAACGTTGCGCTCAACTAGTACAACGTAAAGTAGTTAGCGTCGCAATATAAGAACAATAGAAACAAAGTATAGTATAAATAATAGATTTAAAAGAGCATGTAACAAAGGCAGTGATAATATAGAATTACTGGCACATATAAAAAAGGATACAATACCGAAACATAAAACAAAGTAAGAAATTCTGTAATGTACATAATACAGAACTGATAGCTTGCAGTGTAATAAGCAGCATTAATGGCAGTAATAGCATAAACATACAGTTTGCAATGTATATGTAAATTAGAAAAATGTATATGCAGTTAGAAATTAGGAATACGTAAATTTGTGTATGTGCAATTAAAAAAGTAACAAATCATATCCAATGCTTGCAAGGTATTAATGTGTGGTGTTATAGGTAGAAGGAAACTTTGATTTAGCTCTCCCGAGTTAGATATTAATCAAAGCTGAGCGTTCAGCAACAAGACTAAAGCTGAGTTTAATAGCTCTGTATATGTTCTAGCTTGCTTATTAGGCAGCGTGTTCTCGGTCCTGAACAATAAGCAGGCTAAACAGAACATACAGATCAAGCGTTTAATAAACGTTTACAATTAGATTGAGATCTAGCAATAATTAAATTATTTTACTGAAAATATGATAATTATTTTGACACTTGTAGTTTAAAAAGCAATTATTTTAAAATCTGTAAGGAATAATTAACTTTATTTTCAATTTTTGATTTTTTTAGCATAGCTCAGTGGTCTCTACACTACTTTCACTTATTTCGTGATGCATCCCTTTTTGTCTGTTACCTTTTAACGAAAACGTCCAGTAATACTACGGAGGAATTCTAAACATGACTGTCTTTAATATTACTCTACCATCCGCCGTTAGTAATGAGTAACGCAATACGTTTATTTCCTATTTGGGATAATAATAAATGGTTCAGAATACTCGTAGCATACATTTAATAGTTATAAAAGTTTGGTTTAAGCATACAGAAATAATTTCATCGATTCAGGTTTGTCTTTAAAAGCATTTGAAGCCTTACCAAATGCCATAATGCACGATGCATGTGATCTTTTGAAAATATTTAATCAAAATTTCAGACGTGAGTAGTGCACTTATGAAACTGATGCCAGCAATAAAACTGGTCATGTTTCCGTTAGATGCACGTTAATGCATATTTTCAACAGAAAATTTGAATTCTTTTTCTCGATAATTTAAGACAGATATTTAGAAATACTACCTAAAAATAAGATTTAGAACAGCCAAATAGATTTTCATTTGTGGTTAAGAATAAAAAAGTAAGCTTAGAATTTGCGCAGTTTCCATGCTGTGATAGAAAACAAACCGATATAAATAAAAATTTAAATACTTAAAATATTTCAAATGGGAATAAGAATTAGTTACGATCTAAATTGGGTGACAATAAGTAAGAAATAATTTCCATCCCATTTCGATCAATTAATATCACTATGGGCTTGTCCGTATGAGGTAGAAGTGGTAAATCTTATAGCACAAGTTCGTCCTAAAGAACACCCAGTATCTTGGCCCGAACCTGCCTACCGCAACACTTTGCCGGAAATTTGGTATTCTCAGCACATTTTGTATAGCAATGAGAAATATTCGAACATAATTTAGTAAGACTTGTCCACCATCGCTACCTAACCAAGGAGATCATGATTAAGAACTCGGATCCTGTATTTTATGCAATCAGAGCTAAGACTATCAGAGCATACGTGTCACTACAATAAACGAACTCAGGAGTTGTAGGTGATAATAAGACATCTTAATAATGAAATAGTATAAAAACAATAAAAACTTCTTAACAATTGCGATTATTTGCGTATGCGATTATTCTATGTCGAACTAAGCATGATATCAGATTTTCTTTTCTTTTGAATTAAAGTAGGGGTCCCGTAGCTCGTGGGGCACGAGTGGCCCGCTGAAGGCATTTTAATGGCCCTGCATTTGACTTTAAAGAAAAGTTGAATAATTTTAAGAAATTTTGATTTCGAGAAAATTTGCCTTGTCAGCTTTTTGTCGTAAACAGAATTTTTTCTCTTATTCTTGATATTTAAAACATTTTATTGACATGCCTAATATTACTTGAGATAAAATTTTCTGAAAATGGGGAATTTTAGGCAGTTTGCTTTATTTGCAGTGATAGTGTTATGACAGTGTTATTGCATTGATAGGTTCGATTCCCGGCGAAGGGGTTGCATATGTTTCATCTTTCCTGCTTCCAAAATACCTAATGACACTACAGTGGCGCCCGAACTAAAAGGGTTGTGGATGATGATTCTCCACACCCAGGATTTGGCGACTAGGTCCCTTAAAACTCTAGTCTCCCTTTAAAAAGTGGAGTATATAAGGTAATCCTCCCGCTTTCCTAGCGTTCCTTCGTGGTTTAGTGGTTCTGCACATTGGGCCGGTATTCCAGAGGTCCGTGGTTTGATTCCCGGCTAAGGGGTTGCATATTTTTCATCTTTTCTGCTTTCAATGAACATAATGACTCTACAGTGTAGCTGTGATGAAGGAATTCAACATTAAGAGACATAATGATACTAAGCACAGTGAGAAATATTCTGCATTGGAAGGTCATTTTCGAAGTGATGAGGTCAGTGAATTAAAATAAAAACTAAATTTTCAGCAGACTTTCTTCACCACAGCCGATGAAGAATCTGAAACTAGTGTTATTGTTAGTTACATGATAGCAGAAAAAATTGCTAAGCCTGGAAAACCCTTTGCTTATGGAGAATTTGCAAAAGAATATCTTCATAGTGTAGTTGATGTGCTTTGTCCATCACAGGCTCAAATCATATCGAATATTAACTTGTCTGGTGTGACAGTAGCTAGGCGCATAGAGGATGTCGCAACATATATATTCAGTAAATTAAAATCCAAAGGCAAACAATTTGAGTTTTATTCTGTTGCAATGGACGAATCAATAGATGTAACAGATACTGCACAAGTAGCCATTTTTATACATGGTGTTGATAGAGACAATTGTAGAGGAATTTGCCAGTATCGTTGCACTTAAAGGTATAACACGAGGAATAGATTTGTATTCGAGTCTGACACAAACTTTGGATAAATGTGAGTTAGACTTCAGTAATATATCTGCTGTAAACACGGATGGTGCTAAATCTATGACTGGAGAGAAAATAGGATTAACAACATTATTCCAATCTAATGTGAATCTGATGGAAATAATACTATGATGACTTTCCACTGCATCATCCAACAAGAAAATTTGTGCAAGAAGTCCTTCTCAAACTTTGAACATGGGATGAATGTTGTTGTAAAAGTGGTTAATTTCATTCGGTCTAAAGGAGTTAATAGCAGGCAATTTCAACAGTTCTTGAGCGATCTGAAAGCTGAATATGGTTATGTTGTGTATTACGCGGAAGTACGTTGGTTGAACCAAGGAAAGATGTTTCAGCGCCTGTTTTCTTTGAAAAGCGAAGTTCAGCAGTTTATGGAATCTAAAGGGAAATCTATTCACGATTTCAGTGATGAGAAATGGTTGAGAGACTTTGCAGTTCTTGCCGATATTACGGATTATCTCAATGATTTGAACTACCGCTTACTGGGAAAAGATCTACTTGTTCATAATTTTTTTTTACTTTGTGAAAGCTTTTGAGACAAAATTAATCCTGTGGGGAATTATTATTAGATTTACAGTGTGACTGCAGTAAAATGCAAGTTTCTCGAAAATCCTACGCTAATTTATTTTTATTCGAAGTACGTGACCGAAGACAAGTATCCAGGAATTCGTAAACATGCACTCTTCAGGTCTTCTATCTTTGGCAGTACCTATATATGTGAACAGCATTTTAGTAAATTGAAAATCCTAAAATCAAAAACAAGAACACGGCTGACAGACAGACATTTGGAGGAAACGTTAAGAATTTCAATAACACAGATTAAACGGGATATTTAAGCTTTAATCAATTAAAACTAAATCAATTAAATCGCATTAAAACTAAAGTAACTACCATCTCCCGCCAGTAATTCAGTTTTTTTCTTTTGTTTACTGTTATGTAGAGAAATTATCTGATAGCGTTGTAAAAACTATGTGAAGGATTGTTATGATTTATGGAAATCTTAATTTTTATTTGATTATGAATTATTTATTTTAAGGCTTTAATTTTGGGGAAAAACAGATGCTTCTGGGAATATTATTTTTAAAAGAGTATTATTTATTTTCCTCTATTTGCAAATCTTGTACAAACTTTTATTCATTGTGAAAGAAGCAGGGAAAGGGAGGCAATTTTTGCCAAGTCATGATTTCGCGCGCCTTGTCCTTTAGAATGTTCGAGAAAGAATTTTCATTGTTAGTTGACCTTAAGAGAGGAAAGTACGTGACGGAAAGGTCAAAGGTTGCTACTTGTCTTTCAATGTAAGTCATTCAGGTTTTTGGCGATTGAGGGTCCGGTTGTTGGCTAAGTGAAGAAAGGCGCGCATGCGCGATCACCCTTATTTCCGCATTCTGGAGTTGAAAGCGCAAATTTTGCCAAAATTAAGGGGGCGATAAGTGAAGCCATAGTGGGAGCCCGTTTTGTGAAGGAGACGAAGGAAATTCGAGTTGGATTCACACTTACTCTTGACTCACTCACTCTTGGACTCGCTGATTTTCGAGCCGGCTGGACTAGTGGACGTTGCTCTTGAAAACTGGCTTGAAGGAAATTCGAGTTGGATTCTCTCTCTTACTGACTGGCGGGTGGAACTTAGTTGGGACGTTACTCGTGAAGCTTGCTCTTGGGATGAGTAAGAACAGGCGAGCCGTAATTGCCTAGAAAAAAAAAACGTTTCTGACCGGAGGCTGAAAACCCTCTTCCTTGCGGCGTGCTGGTAAAGAGGCGAAATTTGAACGAGTTACCTGCGTGTTGACATAGGACTTTAAGGACCAAGCGGATAGCCGTCCTGGGCAGCAGTGCTCCTGTTTCTGTTCTACAGTGAAAAAAATAAAGTACCAGTGTCAAGATGAGCCCGGCCGACATCAACGCTTGATAAGATACGAGTCTTCCACTTCAAGATGTTCCCTCAAGATAAGTTTTATTTTTTTTGGTGTGTTTGAACTTTAGGCAAGCTTTTCAAAAACGTCCTTAGCAGAAAAAAACAACGTCGAATCTAAAATTTAACTCTCAGGCCTTAAATTGTTTCCCTTTCCTTTCTTTTAAATCACCAGACAAACCTTAAGTTTTTTTATGAATTTAAATGAACAGACTCTCAGATGAGGTTAAGATTTTTCTTATTGTGTTGTAATTGAATAAACTGATATTTAATCTGGAACCTCTTACAGTATGTTTTCTTTATATATTTTAATATGAACTTTTCCTTTATATCTTGTATATGTTTTATGTTTTCGATCCTCTCACGGCGCGGTCCCGGAATGCATTTTTTTCACAACGCAAAAATGCTGTACACGTTTCACTATACGATCACTACCTTTCACGGCAAGTAGTTTCATATTTAACATTTAACATATAGGAATTTCAGATATAACATGGTACCCTGAAGTAAAGCTATTTAACCTTGGTGTCGAAACATTCCATATAACATTACTGTAAATGCATTTTCTTTAAAGCATCATTCTGTACAATCATATTTATGCTTTTTTTCATAGTTAAAAAAAGTTGCAAAATATTTTAATTTGATTTCCATTTGACTTTTGGAAACCAAATGTATATATATATATATATATATATATATATATATATATACTAATCTGTAGCACTATCTCTTCGACTAGAATAAATTGTCGTCTTGCAATACAAACCTCCCTTTTTTTATAAATTTTCTGACTACACTATTTTTTCAGACATGTGGCCCTCGAATCTTTGTGAATTTATTGATGTGGCCCTCGGGCGTGAAAGGTTGAAGACCCCTAAATTAAAGTAAAATTTAAATGTTTGTACTATTTGCCAGTTAGATGCACTGTAAACCATTCCCACTAAATATATTTAAATTGAATTAATCAAAAGTAATATTAAACATAAAATAGGGCAAACAATTCAGAATTAGAAGAATTGCGTGGACTTTTTTAAGTAATGAATAATTTTAATTTGTAAGATTTGTTAAAGAATCAGACAGCGAAATCTGAGAAAACTGACTGTGTTTTAAATAGTGAGTGTCATAAATCCTAATAAATTCTAATATAAAAATGCCAACAACAAGCAATACGTACGGATTGAAAATGATTTGGTAGCTTAACTCGTCATACACACACATGCCCTTGACTAATTGGTTTCTTGAAAACCTAAGTATGCATCATTTCGCAGGAGATGTGAATGATCTCTGTACATTTATATAGGTTATCGATATATTCTTCCTAACACTTCAGTTGTTCAGTTCCTAACACTTTTCAGTTGTTCACTTATTTCTGCATTAATACAGTTTGGACCACACTAAGTTTCAGACTTCAAGTGAGAAAACTGTCTTTGCTGACTGTTACGAACAAAGAATCAAGCTTCTAAAAGTATATATTGATGTAATATGCAATTATACAGTTGTCCCAAAATAAATTTTTAACTTTTTGATCATTAATAATACTAATAATACGAGTCATGAGATACTTGTTGTTGACAGGTATTAATATACTTGCTGTCGCCTCACGTTTTAAAGTAAGAGATACTGAAAATGTGACTCATTAGCTGCAGTGCTAAAGAACAGGTCTGCAAAAGCTGATATGACTTCAAAAGAATGGGAGACACTCCTTCGTATGTCTCATGTCATTCCGCGTACTGAGTTTTGTGGCCAGTACAAGGAAAGTTTTTAACACAGATCCCTAACTACATCTGTTGTTACACTCTACATCATCCGTTGTTTAGATCACATACAGCTTCCTCCTTCTCAGATGTGCCATGTAATATCATAACTGTTACACCTGACTATAGCGTAGTGTCAAATGTCGTCCTCCATCATCTTAGTACTTCAAACACATTGTCAGTTTCATAGTAACATTTTATAACTCATTCACTTGCTCTAAATAAAACAGACCTACACTTCTGTTATTTAGTGTATTCTGATGCCTAACTTGCAGGTGTGCTGTAGTACTAAAACAACAGAATCCACCACATACACTGAGTGCTGATGTTGCAATTCCCACTGCAAAATACTCAATCGGTTCATCTTTATTTATTTACTTTTGCTGTTATTAGTGTCTAAAAATATAAACCTTTATGGTGTTAAAAATATTAGTGTTTTTGTTGATAATATCCGCGCTCGAAAATACCAACGGAAAGTTTGAGAAAGGGTCTATAGTAGGCGAAAACTTTCAGTAATTGAGTGGTCAACTTTGACCTATTGTTTCCCAATTTCGAAAATGTACTTTTTGACAGGACAGGCTTGATAGCGTCTGAGCATAAAGCCAAAATGCCTCACAAGCGATGGAAACCAAAATTATGAAGATAGAACCCTTCATAGGTTTTCGCGTTTTCATTGCGGAAGCACTGTCCGACATTGGTGCAAAGTTCACCAGTTTGTCTTTTTAGAATGTCACGCCCTGTTGTTTCCGCGATTCCATAATCCAATTCCATCTGCTGCCTTGTAGCGCTGTTTGCTACTTTTCAAATTAATTCCAGTTTTTGTGCAATCGTCAACACAACCTTCTTTTGTTTTCCTGACATTTTAAATTGGTAACGAAAAACACAAAATCAAAAAGCACAAGCACTGAACACGATAAAAGCTAAGAAAGTAACTCTGAAAAGTTCGCAAACACTATCAGGCTTAAACTAACAATAGCGAGTGGGAGGAAGTAGACGTGTCAATAAGATTAAGACGAGAAAGGGCGGTGGAGCGGGCACTGCAAGGGTGAGTAAGAAATCACTGTATATATAATAAAAAGATTGGAAGAAACTACAACTATATTAATTTACAGTTTTACTTAGATTGATTATCAGCATTAGTTCGATTATCAGCAAACGAGATTTAAATGTCCACACAATGCAGGTTTTGCCCATTTATTGTATAATGTATTGCTAATCCAAACCGGTTATTACATATCCGCCTATTTGGTCGGGGGATACTATTCTTTTA